AACCCCTTTTCGTAGCTCATCAAGACAGCTCTTGAATCCTAAATAAAGTACATTACAAGTATCCCTACTGTGAATGCATGTCAGTGAATTTCCCTATCCGCATCACTTTTCACACCAAGATCTAGGAAATGAAGCTGATTATTGGGCTTACACATCATTGAAGATATCAGGATGAATATTGTTGAAATTTGGCCTTTCGCAAGCATTATCTCAGAAGACGGACGTGTCACCAACTTATCTGATATAAATATCCGTCTGTGATTAAATACTTCGCATTTGCTTGCCCCAGATTACCCATATGTCAGCCAGGACCAGTCCAACGGGGTGCCCATAAGTAACCCCATCTACTTGACGATATAATACATTGTTAAACTGGGATTTCTTTAAAAGCAGTTGCTGGAAATTATTCCTGGGTAAAAAAAGAACGCCGACATAATCCTTATGATTTCTTCCAGTGAGAACTTTGTTAACAAAGAAACCACTGATTTATCCGGTATATTCTTATTTTCTAGCACTGCAAAGTAATTCCATATTAGATTTATTTATTTGATATAGCAGTGTTACAATATTATTTACTTAATGAAGATCCCAGCATAAATTATTGCTCATAATCATATATCAATGTAATCAGACTACTTTCTACATCTGATAAATCCGGTAGCGTCATCCAAGGAACCCTACTGTCACCAGTGCTGTCCAACTATGTTGAGAACGAGCTAATTCATAGACAAAACCATAGGTACTCCGAACCTCTCAGGTCTTGACTGACTGCAAGATCACTAGTGATTAGGCCTACCGAGACCACATGGCCGCGCCATGCGAAGACACCGAGGAAATGCAGTGTTGTTTATGCCTCCGGACTGATCTGGACGGACTTTTGATTCAATGATGGGGAGTGAATAGTAGACGGATTTGACCTGACGACTTCTCAGACTTGGTTAGTTGAGTTACACCAGGGTGGGTGGTTTTGGTACTGACGAGATGGATTCCAGCTCGGCTACCGGACGTCGGTTTGTGCATCTGCCAAGATGTGACCCGTTAGGCTGACGGAATGTCCAACTGGCTATCGCAGAACGAATATGCCGTACCCAAGTCCACTCTATTTCATTATACGGCTATGAGTTGCGGCCATTTACAGTAGAGGATATGAACAGGTGGCTGGTTTTTAACCACAGGCGTCTTCGAAGTATTGATTGTATGTGGTGGGACCACAGTGTGAGCAACGATATGGCTAGGAGTTAACTACTAAGCAAGTCAGAGGATGACGTGGTGAACAAACAGCAAGGTTGCTTGGACACATGCTTCGCATGAAGAGACTGCTGTGTAAACATGGCGTCACGGCAGTGTCTTCTGATTTGTCTGCATACACAGAAATCAAAACGCAGTGCCCATCAACAACTAATTTCTCAAACTACATAATCGGATCCCCTCAGGTTACAGATCCCATCAAGGACCAGATAACCTACCAATTGCAACTGTTAACGTGATCTCAACTTAGTAAGACTAGTCAGTTAGCACAGTTTCAGTTATCCTGTGGTTGTAGTGTTAAGAGATATTACATCTACTAGCCGATTCATAAGTTTATGCACTCAGATGTCTACAACGCGAGATATATGTGAGTTTGGAATACTATCCGTCTACTGCAATTCTTTTCTTTCGTTGACCCAATGGATCGCTAGTGAAATGCTAAAACCAGTCACATCTGTACCTCAGGAGTATCTTAGTTAGACATTACTTTAAACCATAGTCTGATCCAAGTGTAAAATCCAACTTAATGGCTACCAAACATCTTCCCCTCTTTAATGTCATATATCAAGAGATGGAGTTGACCGTTCCTACTGTCACGAGTGTTTTATCTGACTTACTGAATATGTGCAAGTGCGAAAAGAGATTGATGTTTGTCTATACTGCTACAGGGAAATGTGTACAATCATTACTAACAAGAAACAAGCAACACCGAATACAAATGGTGTGGCAGATTTGTCAACAAAGTGCATTTGATTTTACACAATTAACAAATCATGCTACCCACCTAATCGAAATGAAATTAATGGGCACGTCTGACCTAGTGGTTGTGATTTCAAGTGCTTGCCAGAGGCACAGATTAACTCCTCAAGTGATTCAAATTAGGGCCATTTTCAGAGATGAAAAGTTAAGTCACTGAAACACCACCCGTGCATATGAGAAACAGTAACTTCTAATTCGAAAGCTCAATACAGACTACCAACTGATCACTTTCAAGTGTTTGAGAAGGATTTTCAAATAATTCTCAATACTGTCTGGGTCACACTGCAGCATACGGCGAGCAACGATGAGTTTATGGACAGGGCTTCATTACGAACCCACTGTATCACTTTTGAACCGACAATCATGCCCTCTTGCACCAGATAATAACGCGTCAATTCATGACGGGACTTGAAGTTAACGTAGAAAAGACGGAGGTGATGAAGATACACAACCAACAACCATAACTAGCTCCAATCACCAACAACGGGAGAAACTTAAAGGAAGTAGCTTCCTTCACCTATCTAGGCAGCACTGCTTCAACTACAGGCGGTACAGACAAAGACGGCAAAGTCAGCATCGGAAAAGCAAGACAGGCGTTCAATAACCTGAAACCAGTGTGCAGTGGAGATCTTCTGCACTCAGCGTAAAGCGTGAACAACATCCGGATTCTCAACACCAATTGAGTCAAGTCAGTGCTTCTTGTATGGCTCAGAGACTCGTCGCGTTACGAAAGACATTTCTAACAAACTACAGACATTCATCAACAACTGCCCACGCTCGTTAATGAAGATCAGATGGCCAGAATAATAAGAATAAGCGACAAGAAACTCTGTCTGGCACGAATCAACTAAGCAAGAAGCTATCGCTCAACAAATATGCATTGGAAGGAAGTGGAGATGGATTGGGCATACACTGAGAAGACCGATTGGGGACATCACGCTCCAGGCTAGGCCAGGTCAGGCTGTCGAGTGGGACTCAGATGGGAAGCGACGAGTTGGGCGTCCGAGGTGAGGTGACATGGAGGAGATCGTGCGAGGAGGAAATGAGAGCTTGTGGGCTGTCGTGGAGCGAGGTACAAAAGATTTCAGAGAACAGAGCGCATTGGAGACGTGTTACTGAATGCCTATATTCCACTAGGAACCCAAGGGACAAATAATAAATAAATAATTCGTGATTCTAAACCAGTGATTTAGCATTGAGTAAGCTGGGAAATGTAGGAAACACTGCATGGGAATCTGCTTTATTCCTTAAATTTTCCATGATCTTTACAAAAGAACGTGCAAACTACTTCGGAAATGACCCAACAGTTACTCATTAGAAATAAAGAGGAACATAGAGACTCAACATCGCGGCATTTTCTCGTGAGTTGAACAAACTTCTTTTTCTTCATAGTTAATGATGTGCAAATACGTTTATTCAAAAACAACCATCACTTCCCACAACACACACAAGTAAACCGCCGCAGTTAAACCACACACCCTGATATGTAAGGTTTATTGGCTAGGTACAAAAACATGACTACGTCGGAGTGATTCCCGACGGATACAACAGTTCGATGATTAGGAAAGTACTCAACTTTTCAAAGCTGGTGTTTGCATTTTGGATATACTCAAACGATACTAACGTTTGTCGCTTCAAAAAGAACCAATACCTATTCATTACTACAGAAAGTTCGTTTTCTCACACTATGTTCACCTTCTAAGTTCATTTTCATCGATTTAGTGATGTATGCACGACAAAAATATTAATTTCTAGAACTGATTCCGATAAAGCGCCTTGCCAATCGCATGTTCTGTAGCCGACCAGTTAGTAAAAAGAAGTAGAGCCACATTAGATTTCGCACTTGGATAAGCTAATACCAATTAACTGCAAATCGCGCTCAATTGGTTAAGATCACTCAGATGTGACACACCCTGTACTCAGAGAAACATCTATTGAAAACCTATATCATGAGTTGTAATTGCACTTACAACTCATGTAACTACGGTTAACATAGAAACTAAAGGCCGCGCACAAGTTAGTTGAACCTTCTGCTGTTCACATAATCTCAAGTAAGAATCTTCACAACAGAGATAGTGCAGGTGTTTACGACAAATAAGTCTAGTAAGAACAATTCGAACATAGGTTGATTTACACTTCAGTTAACCGTCTAGTGCCTAAATAGATTAAGAAATCAATCCATGTGTCTATGTATTAAACCAAGTTACACTAGTGTTTGCATAGGTCGAAGCAGATACAGTGAGATTTAACCCCGGAAACACTGGTTTTAATTGCTCAAGCCAATGAACAGCATCTCCCACGGATAGATATAATACTCCTTTTTTAAATATTTTGATTCAAATGCTAACCAAGACCAATTATTGGTTCTTTGAACTTAATTCTAAGATATGCGAAGGTCATGAAAGTAGGGTTGACAACATTCATGTTAGACATTTCACTCTCGATGCGGTTTAGGCGAAAAACGTTTGTCATTTGCCTACAACGACTGATCACGGTGGACCGTAATTCAAGCCTTTTTAAACTGCTGCAAAAGAACACTAAAAGGCATCATGTCACGTGTTCCGATAGACAGCTACCTAGGGACTAAGATTCTGCTTCTTCTTTTGTGGAATGCAATCAGAGACAAAACAGGATCCAGTCTCTTAAAATGAATGGATTACACAACTTTGTGCACATAACACAACAAGAGTGACACTTTCCACGCTACGATGATCAATTGCAGGTTCTTTACCTAGAGGAGGACGTGCTGCAATGTCTCAGCTGTAAGACAATAAGGAAGCAGATAGTCAACTGGTTGTCAATTAAGGGTAACTAGTGGTGAAAAATTCACTTACTTAGGGCGTAGTGTACAAAATGAACTCTCAATAAACTGTGCATAATTAAAGTTGAAAGGAAGAAATAACGCGACTGGTACTTCAATAAGACTAGAAAATTCGTTACGGTAAGAGGGACATGCAGAACACAAGGGTCATGGTTGGAGCAAATGGAAATATCTCGACATTTTATTGAACTTTCTCTACAAAAAATGAAGCGATACCTAACAGGCTTGCAACAGACACCTTTTGTTAATGAAAATTATACGTTAAAGGCATGCCTCATCTTAACCACAAAAAAACATTTCGCTGACCAATTTTGAGTTGTATATCGAACTGAGATGCCCATAAAGTGGTCATCAAAGCTTAAACGCTAGCGCAATCCTGATGATCAACACGTCGTAATGCAACTTAAAATAGGGCTGCATGTTGCACACGTGAGTGTTTTGACGAGCACAGAAGTAGACAATTACAAAGTCAACGGAGGTAAACATTAAATGACACTATATCCGTACCTAGTACCAAGTAACAACTCGGAGTGCCATCTAGTTTGAGATTTCGAAAGCTCCTAAGAACACCAGAGATAACTGGAAAAACATTTCTCGATAATCCTTGGCTTGATTCCCAGTGACTCACAAACCAACTTCAAAAATCTTGGAATGAAATGAATGTTAAAACTTTATAGAAGGGACAATATAAGTGAGCAAACTGATTTCATTTATGAACTTGAGTCAGGAAAGATTATGTAGCATACGAATAGTCAGTGTATCATTCATTCTTTTTCAATTATGCAATAATCAGACATTATCATGATATCAAGAGGAAAATAGGACACTATTCCCAAAGATAGAGAAAGAGAAGTATGCATATACATCAACAAAGTCATAGTACAGTAACAAGCTCAATTATTGGAATGCAGAGAACAAAGGGAAGTAAATTAAAGAGGAAAAAATAGGAAAACCACTCCCACCATGAACATCTGATGAATAAAATAACTAAAGGTGTTCGGAGAATAAATCGTAATGCAGTACGAAAAGAATGAGCATGAAGACAAATACCTCGTAAAGTGGTAAAGCGAGGAAATGTGTTTGAGGGGGAGCAAGGGTAGTCAAGGAAACGTGTAAAAATGACAGGATGACATGCGAATACATATGTATATATTTATATATGTATATAAATCAGGCTTTCCTACAATCACTGTCGACAAGTTTGTTAACGTGTACGAGCAGTTTTTGACGATGGTAGTTTACTTCTTCTAGTACAGATACCAGGAATGATAATGGTTTGTGTAAGCTACTGCACGTTATTTTGTTGTCATCATCGTAACAAACTCTGAAAATAGGAATAGGTAATGATAACACAGAACATCCTTAAAGTTGACATCAACGACACGACTAGTACGCATTTACATTCCACTGAGTTTAATATAACGACAAAAAGACTGGACTAAAAAACAGACGATATTCAGTTGAGAAAATAAATAAGCACTACATATAGGCATGCGTATCAAGATGAGGAGCAAACAACAGTACAGAACAACATGGGGAAAAAATCAAGATCATTTCAATTACTTACCCCCTGCACAGGATTAAACTTTATACTATGATAAATTACCGCACTTTAAGGAAAAATTTAATGGAGTCGCCTAGTGTTTTTTACCATTACTGAATGATAACGTATTTTGCCAGCGTAAAGATACGGCAGATAAAGACAAACCTGACGACACGTAATACATTTTGTCAAAGCATTACTAATGCGGTGAGTTTAACTATGTCCGAAAATCGAAGACACGAAGTTCTATGTTCGGTATAATCCCCAGTTAAGAAACTTTGAAGATTTTTGTCCCAAGTGGATGAAAAAACTGTAAAAAACTTATTACAACACAAACAACGATTACCCTCTAAGCCAAAAATGACACAAATTTAACATGACATACAATGCCCCAACAAATGTGGCTCCATATGCTAAAGGTGGGCATAAAAGGCTTTATTGTTCTTCGCTTTGTAAAGATAATGATAAACAATTTTTCAGGATTAAAAAATAGGAAAAGGTGTGCGAAGAGTAGGAGCGTACATTTGAGTTGTTTAGAAAAGAAAAACAAAATAGTTCGAAAGGGCATAAAAACACCAGAAAAGCTCAAACCGTAGTATCAGTTGCTTAGTTTGCAAACAATGCATGCGTATTTAAAGGGCCACTTAAAAAGGCAATCACAAATTTGCTTTACATTGTTCGCTCAGAATGAGCGTTCAGGTGGATGTGACATGTTTATTTCTGGTGTCGTTTCAAGTTCTCATTTCGCCGTCATCATTTTCACGAACTCTGTCAGCGTAGTTCACAGATGATTTTGAAGACCGTAGTGGAGATATACCGAAGTCACCACATGCGAATACCATCAGGCAAGTCGGATGAAGTGAACACGAAAACGCACCGCAGATGCACAGAGTAAAAAAGACAACAGTAAGATAGCAACGTTTTAACAACATATATGATGCACAACATAAAAACATTTGTGAACTAGAAGCAACGTAAACAAACTACCAAAACTAAACTATTGAGAGAATCAAAAACTACAACGAAGATTTTACCCGTTAATTCAATAAAGAAACGAAACATGCAAAATTCACCTTCATAATTGACTTGACCGTCACCGTCAATATCAGCCTCTCGAATCATTTCATCTACTTCTTCATCTGTTAGCTTTTCGCCTAAATTGGTCATTACATGTCTGCAAGTAGCATAAAAAATAAATGCATATCATCGCATACACCAGAGGAACTTTCAGTTGATAAGAAACAAACAATTGACAGATACCAAACTACTTACAGCAGTTTCCGAAAAACTTACAGATTGAAACGGAAGTGAAGAATCCTAGTCTCTTCCGGAAAATCCTAAACACTTCATTAACGCCATACAAACTTAACATAGTTTCTCACAAGTCACCTAACAAACAAGCAACCGGTTACAGCAGTATGGTATGCACCAGATAAAGCAATCAGTATGTCATGTCCAATGAGAAACAAACTTGTGAACAGTACTTGATCCTCAGGTAGGTAGACAGAAATCTTGAAACAAGAGTACATTGTTGTCAGCTACTGTGCTCCGAAACGGTAGAGTAAAAAAGAATGATAATACTAGCAGTGAAAACAGATCCGAAAACTGAGTCTGAAGCTAGATAGTTTTTAGAGCTTAGAAGACCGTGAACGTACCCTCACTACAAATGTCTTGTTTTTGGCTTCTGGCTTGAGGTTTTACACGAGGTAAATCCAAGTTTGAAAGAATAAGTAAATCGGAAGAATCTTCGGTGGTTTTCTTCTCAAAACGCAATGTGCTCTAACAGCTGAAAATACAAACTATTACCTGTATCTAATTGCATGCGTTGATATCAGTTCACTCACTGGAGCACCACATATATTCCATTCCATGGTGCAAGTTTCATATAAAAGAGATACTAGACATGGCGAGAAAACGTTGAGTGATGCAGTGGGAGATACTAGTCAGCGTATGGGAACCTGATGTAGTTCTATCACACGGGTTTATATCACATCGTTTTTGTTAACAAGAGAAACGTTTTGTGTGACTGATTGATTAAATCAACGTAGGACCTTGCACGCAGATGTATCGGTTTACGTTACCAAGCTTCACAGTTATACACAAAGAACGAGTGGATAGAAAACGAGTGATATCAAACTAGACAAAGTTGTGTGAGAAAAGTAGTATGAAGATAAAGGCTAGGATGATTATTCAAGCTTGAGAAATTATCAGAGTGAATACACGTGCACCACTGTGACCGAATTTCACCCAGGTCACCAACAGTCATCAACCACTGATTCCCATCCTCTTAGGGATTCCTATTGGCAGTCTGCATCTCCCACACGACTGAGGCCAAGTTAGAGACTTCATCGACTGGTGCCACGCCCTGGTCTGGTCGTCTTGAACCATCTACAAAACTAATTCAACTTCCACTAGCATAGCACGTCGAGGCAGGCGGTGACTCGGCATACGCATTACATGTACGAGCCACCAACTCAAGCAATGCTACAATGACATCTGTGATCAGAACCCAGTAATCGCTTCGTGGCTTCTACTTTAATGGCCATGTCACACAGCTGTGAAACTGGACAGAACGGACTGCAGCACAGTATACTTGTCCTTTTATAGATAGTCGGATAGTTCGCCGGTTGGCGCCACAGTGACTCAAGTCGGCAAGTGACAAACGGGTTTTTTTGCATCGGATCTAAGTTCGTCAGCAGCCAGCTCATTCGGGCTGATGCGATTCCTAAGTGAATGAAGTGACCAACTCATTCTACCACTTCACTCTCTATAATTGAACTGGGAGTAGTTGCAGATCAGTCCTAGAGCATCATCTTACGTTTAACAGGTGGCAGCGAAAGGCATGCTAAATATACTCAGGTTTCTGTTCAACACGTTCAGAAGACCCAGCAATGTGTCAGTATTTTCACCAATCAGGAAAAATATCGTCTGCATACTCGAAGTCAACCAGATGACCACCAGGGAGTAGGTCAGTTCGTATGAAGTCATTAGTCCGTCTATGATGAAGTTGAGTAGGGACGATGACAGTGAACATCCCTGGGGGACACCATCACCACTCACTAGAAAAATCTCTATAAACACTTACAGGGCTGCAAGAGTTTGAGCAGAGGGCCTTGATAAGCATTATATAATTTTCAGCACACCCTTCACGGTCAGATAGTCACAACACCCGGTGGTTGACTGGATCAAATGCCACTTTTAGGCCAAAAAATATGGCAAGTGTTGGCTGCCGATAGGTATGCCTGTTAATCGGTACCTGTCGAAGGGCCAACATACGATCAATGCACCCTCGCCCAGGTCTGGAAACAGGTGATAATCACGAGACGAACCAGAATAACCAAGAATGAGTTTGAGATTGCAGGGTTATTAGTCGTCTGATATCTAAGTCAAGATGGATAAAATCAGACCAGTTTCAGACCGGGACTAGAGTGCGGTGACCGGATAATTGGCTTTCGGAACACAAGCGTAATTAAGGGCATCCGCCAACTAACATTTATGTTCACGTGAGTGTGCCATTTGATCGTTTTGACCGAGTTTGTGTTGAGACAAAGTTAAGAGTCATCACACTAAGACCAGTTGCCAGTTCACATAATCTTTGACTGCGTATGGAGGTGCACGTTGGGAAGACAGGAGGATTTCAGAGACGATAGAAACTACTTGTTGGAAACTCTTGGTGATATGATTCTAAATTAGTCAGTGATGCAGACGCATAAATTTTCTGTCTTTTAAGTGATGAGTGCTTTTTATGTTCCACAAATTTAATCCTTCTTGGGCTTCACGTACTTTCAATTACTCTACCATCTATACATCCACTTCTTGCAGGCTGCCTTGAAGTATGATAACTTGGACTGATGCACCATTTTGATAGGTCCTACAAAGATGTAATACATGAGTGGCTAGACCGTTCCTTTTTTTTATTTGAAACCATTAGTAGAAATACCTACCTACCTACCTAAATTTCACTTGTCTTCCGGGCATTAGGTTTCGTGTCCTAATCATACTTTTTTTCGACATTTAGGTATCCAAGTAGTCGTAATCTTCAAACAAGTTATGTGAATTCATGTCCAGTACAAAAAGCTGTATCCGGGTGAGTCGCAGTTTATTAACAAAGTAGGCGGCAGAGGGTAACACAGCTACGCCGGATCCATTTATGTAACAACTGAAGCATCGCTCTTTGATCTAAATTTCCTATCAATTATACTTTTGCAAATAACATAATAGAGGAAAGTAGATTTAAGTTGTCAGACTTTTCAATAGTACAGAAAGAGAACAAGTGGAAATCTGTATGTTTAGCGAAACAAGGGCCCACACTATAAAGCAACAGAGAAGTGAATGCAATTACGAGATTTGGTTGGTTTTCATGCATCATCTAGGATCCTGAAGCACTGATTTACAAACCTCGTAACTGCGGGCTAGCAGCTTACACTCCAAACAATCTACGAACAAGTTTAATATTAGACTTTAAGACCAAACCCAAATACTCAAGCATAGAACCATACGGAAATTTGAGACAACGGAATAGACACTCAACGAAGCTGTAGCTCATAGATATAGACACTAAACTAATCAGTGGCTCATAAGACCGAACACTACACTACCTACTGAGTTTCAGGCAGCCAGTAAGTCATTAGCCTCCACAGAGAAAGTAGGGTTAATTCCTCACTGTATGAACATTTACGTGTTTACTCAGCTGCATTCTGATTGCATTAATCCACTGAGCTTAGTGTGGATGAGCACCTCTATTTCGTTAGCTCCTAGAATCCCACTACGGTGGTCTGGGTTCGAATCACAGCGATTCGCAGTAACTAAAGGCATTCGTAACGTACCTCAAGTGACATACATACGAATTAGATTGCTTGCCTACGGGTTTAATGTGGTTAGTTTGCTATGCTTTTTTTATTTGGTGCAAGAAACTATTACGCATGCACATGAACAACGAAGTTCAGACGTGCTTCTTAGTATATGCACAAGTGTTATGGAGCACAGTCCAATTCTAATTTGTGAGTAACATCCGGCACCAAAGTACTGATTCTTGAAGTGCCATCAGAAAGAAAGTTGCAGCAATTTACTTTACAGCTGAAACCCCCTTCGTCTAAAGTAGTAAATACAATCAGAGCAACCTTATACAAAAACAAAGCGTTCAATGCAGACAAATTCATGTCCGGTGTAACTTAACGGGCAGTCGGTGACTAGACGTACGTAACAAATGTCTAAACCACCCGAGTAGATGAGGGTTCACTTCATCAACTGACTTCTACATTACCGACGGTGACACCACAAAACACGACTTGTGCTATGAAGGCAACGGTAACCAGACACCTGAAGCCTTATATCTCACCTTTAACGGTCAAGTCTTACAGCTATACGTAGTATCTAGAGCTCAGAGGGTCCGGATATCCAAGCCCGTGATTTAGATGCTTCGGGATTTAACCTACGTTAGACTGATACGAGTAACTGGAAGTGATGCCCTTCGACTCATCATTCACTGTTTGCTTGTCTATTTACACTTGGTTTCAACTGTCGGAAGAGATGGAGAAACTAACCAAAAACACGGTTTCTACTGTCTATTTTAAGTCTCCGGACAAACTAACGTGAACTACATATATTGATTTTCACACAGCCAGTTATTCCATACAAGCCTTAGCTATGACCGGCTCAGAGCCTAGCAAACAAATGTTTCCGGTTGAGTAACATCACTATTTGGGCGCGCGCAACCAAAGAACGAATAATTAACGAATTAGCCCCTTTCAGTCATAAATAGGGGGTAATTAGCAGTTTTGGCAAATACAGGCTATGCCAAGTTGCAAACCACTTTAGTTCGGCATACCACTTGATGGTGATGGGTAAACTGGAACAGGAATGCACCCTGACAAAAAGCGGAGAAAGAGAAATTCAGGCAATACCAAGCTAACGAGCAATAGAGGTTAAAGTACTTATGACGTGATTGCTACTGGAGTGTCATCTCAGCCCAAGTACACCTGTGGAAAGTACGTAGCATCAACTCATCCTTTGGTCAGATTGTTGTACCAACTTTGTGTTCAACGCAACAGCAGCAAATTGCTTTGAAAATCCCTATAACTACAGCGGATGAGTATTGGGATGTCACTGTACACCATTTAGGCTTTTGATGAAGCCAAGCAACTAGTAGAACACAAATCAAGGGACCATTTTAATTAACAAGCTCCAGTGAAATGGACTTAGATTTCCTAGGAAACTCAATACTAAAAGTCACCTAGTAATTAGAACACTTGCTGAACCATATAAGTTATAGTATATGATCATATCGACCAGACGCACTGTGGTTCTTTCAACAGCTATTTCGGTTTTTAATGATGGGAAATGCTTTGACTTTTTTCCCAGCATCTTTTATTTAGATATTGGTGACGCAAAACAGGTATTGGTTTTTAAAAAATCAGAAACAGACCGAAGGTATGTGATGAGCTGCGCCAAGCAACCGTATGTGTAGAATGAACGCTAGGAATCCGGAAGCCCACTTTTAGCCTACACACTTCCGTTACGTCAACAATGTAAGAGCTATAAGAACTTATTTTAGGGCGGTAGGTCAAATTGCTAACATAATATACAGCTAACATTGGTGTACGCAAGTAAACCTTTACATCGTGGTTGGGAAAAGACCATTATCGGAACCAGAGAACTAGAAGACCATAGGTAACATAATAAAAAACTGACACTACAACCAGCGGTGTTCCAAGTCAAATTTACCAAACTGTAAAAACGATAGGACATATAGGCTGCTTTTGCGGATGCATAGCTATATAATATGTTGAACAAAAACAATGCCCCCGCAGTGAATTTGAAACAGCTGAATAACATGTATGTTGGTATTGACACTACGCGACTAAAAAGTAGGGACATTACTGTTACACACAGCAAGTGTTCAAGGGTCGATATGCAGAACTATTCAATTTAAAGGGATAACGCGAAAACCATGCATGCCACTAGCAAAACGTTGATTACCTCCCACCAATTCCAATCCGCTGACCATTATCGTTTTTCATAAGTCGTTCAAATAAAGTACACAGTACTCGAAGCACTGGTTTACTAACCACTATGCAGTCTGTTTGAAACAACTCAGAGAGCAGAGTACATATTAAACTCCAACGCCCAGAATGGCAATCAGGATAGCAAGGTCGATACATTTTGTTCGAAACTTAATATGCACAGAAAAATACACCACAGCCTAACAATGTTTGAAAACATTCTTAACACACACAATTAACAGTCAACCACGCTAAGGTAAGCATTTTGTTGCAGTTAAGAAAAAGTGGGTAGTTATTATCATGCACTGACCACACTTCAGTTAAAGCTGTCGTTACAAAATGAAACCAGACGCTACATACAGTCAGTATTAATGGCTGGAACCTGTCTAGGAAGCAGTTTTGCATTTCGCAGTAGGATAAGCGTATCAAACACTTGGTCTCTGGATAGATTCATGCATTAAGTAAACATGCGGTTAATGCGCGTCAAAAAATGCATCCCGAGTTGACAACACATCGCTCCATCTTTCCAATAAGATGTTTCGTTGGCTATTAGTGCGACAGCATTAAGGATGAAGACTTTAAAGTCCACTCTAGCAAATGATGAGAACCAATTACATGTCTCTATTTAACGGAAAAGTATTTTTCCAGGTGAAATACCAAACTCTGACCGGTCACTTCAGTTGTAACTAGGGTTGCTGGGTATATTGCAATAACAATAACCATCACACAGGAAGAATAAACAGAACTAACCGGAGTTCAGCCGCGGAAATGAAACCATTTCCATCTTTGTCGAAAACACGGAATGCCTCTCGAATTTCTTCTTCGCTGTCTGTATCTTTCATTTTCCGAGCCATCATAGTTAGGAATTCGGGGAAATCGATTGTGCCGTTACCTTATTCTCCAAGTAAATCAAACAACTTTATCTTACCATCAGCATCTACTTCGTTGATCATATCCTGCAGCTCCGCTTCTGTGGGATTCTGACCCAAGGAGCGCATAACAGTTCCTAATTCCTTGGTAGTAATTGTACCATCACCATCTTTATCAAATAAAGAAAAAGCTTCCTTAAACTCAGCAATCTGTTCCTCAGTTAACTGATCTGCCTAATATAGAAGTAAAGAAATAGTAACATATACACCTACCATATCTAGAAATACACAAGTCCGCAAAGTATGAAGACTACCACGATAACCCGTAACAAGACCGCTGTTAACAGACAAGAAGTAAAACACCGTACGTAGATGTAGATCCAGAAACATGACTTAATAATCATATGTATTACCATAATTTGTACAATTTATGGTTGAATGTAGGACAGAAAATCCTGGTTCCTGTTCTGACTTGAACCGCTAAATACGAAGATGTAGGTCGCAACAAATTTGGAAACAGTAACCATCCTATTTTCAGTCATGCCTTCATTAAGTATTAAATACCGTCCCTAATCGTCTCATGTATGTTTGCTCTTTAAAGCTGCTGAGTCGGCTTGCCATGTATTGTTTTCATTCTTTTCCAACTGTCAAAGATTCACGAAGATTGATTGTACCACAAATAGGTATACTGCATGCCCCGCAAAATCGCCTCCTCGAAATAACCCACATGGCAGCTGAGGCTTAAAAGGTTTCATTTAATTCCCACGCATATTATCATCCACTCGGTGATGAAGGTGCATTAAAGCAGCTACATTTAATACCCCAAAATCATACCCATGGGCTCGGCAGGATTTAACATTGATGTTCACCCTCATGGTTTTATTGGACTCGTTGAGCTGAAGGCATACGGTCAGGCATCTACGCCACGCTACTGTATTGCGCCGCATTGCTCGTAATCGATCCTCTGGCCAGCTGGTCGGGGCGTGTCGGCATTTTAGCACGACCTCTCAAATATACCATTCCCATCTGACTACTCTAATGTGTTCTTCCTTGGTGTCGCATTCATAATTACATCAAGAGTACAAACAATTAGTGATTGGCCTCTATGTTTATCAAGTTCCCATGGGGCTAGCTGCTAAATATTCTCTTATGGATGGCTCTTCGCCTTGAAAATTAATACATTATGGCTTTACGGCCGACTTTATGGTCTTCACCTGACCCAACCGAAAATGAAACCACAATTTAGGTGAAATAATTTGGCTATGAGCTTAAGAATGTTGCTGAGTAGTTGTATTTCCTTATGTGGGGCGTCACTGGAAAAAATGAGCAAAATCTTTGGATCGCGCCTTGTAAAGTGGTTGATTTTGAACTGTTATAATTCCTTGTCCTCTACTGTCGGGTCATTTTCCTAGCCACTCCGACAGCACGTGAAGCGTCTGCCGTCACCGAATTCTTCTTACGCATGGAGGGTATGTTGGGTTCAACCAAGCAGTCAGTGTGAAATGAAATACCCTTGTGACGTTTTACGTCCAGATGAAACTAGTGTAACCTAGTTGTTATGATACTCGTGGTTTCCCGTTGTTGTACAGGGCCGAATTGCTCATCGGCCGCTATATTTACGTGGCAGCCACCAACGTGAACATACCGTCAAGAAATTTTATTTTTATAGTTAGTATGCAGTATTCCCGCCACTCGGCAGATTTTTGATCATATCTGGCACTTTTTCTATTATGTACAACAGGCTTGTGTGTTCCCGACTGTGGTGGACTGATATTTTGGTTGTAAGCCATGTGAGCCATTTGTGGCACCTACATTGATGACCTAGGTTCCTCATTAAGTAGTGTTGGTTAATCCCACTGAGGGATCCAAACGCTCAGACTCTGACCCACCTTTTAAGGTTCACCATATATGTTTATCAGCCTGGGTTGGGCGGGTAATTCTTTCAGACATGGAACAATTTTTCTTCTAAACGAAAGCCAACCTGCCAGCGGGTCTAGCGCTCTAGTTACCCCTGAGGTGCGGAACAGTACAGTGAATGTTTCGCGCTTTATTGATTGTGTCACCTCGTGAAGTTCAATACAGTGGCTGTCGTGAAAGGCTCCCCTGTAACGTTCTCGAACAGTGCGTCGGAAACCTTCAGTCAGCTGATCACAGCCATGCAGTTTACAACGGGCTTTCAAGGACCAGATGTCTTCTAGATACCTGAAAATATCGATGGACAACCGCCTCAGAATTTCCACTCGAAGATTTCCAGGGCCAGAAAGGAAGATAGACAGGGTGCAAAACGTCTCAATACAGCACTTGTTTTGGACGCCCAGGTGAATAACCGGCTCGCCAGTCCACCTACAGCCTCGGCGACACTGTGAGTTTTACATCAGAAGGGTTTATTTAAGTGGTTGTGCTACCAATTTTCATCCTTTTAACGATATTACAAAAAATGCTGCTTGATGATCCCTCACTTCTTAACGTGAGCGGTATGTAAGACCCACTGCGACTGGCTTGCAGTTCTTCAAGTGTTTGTTCCTTCGGAACACAACAGCTGATTATGATGGCGTAAATCTGTTGGACCCAGGGGCTTATGGTTAAAGCTCGGAACAGTTTGCTTTAGACGGCCAAAACGTAGCAAATAAGGGGGCCGTGACAGAATTATAACGTGCCCGTCCCAAGCACTCTGGTGGGCAAGTCAAGTGGGCAAAATCCAATAAGTACATTGGAAGTTATTCTTCATTCAATAGTAGTCAGTAGCGAACACAGTTTACTGCAGACAGAAATGATAACCAAGTTTACCGGGCACTACAAATATGTATTGCATTGAACGGCACCGCTTGAAGAGGAGGAAATGCCTGAACAAAAATATTCACTTAGATTAAATGATTGTGTGGGAACTCAGAATCGTCACTTTGGGTTCCTTTTGTCTCCAAGGCTATAAGAAAAGAACTCGTTGTGAAATAGACGTTTATCTGGCGTGACGTGGTGCCGTGAAAACAAGTTAAACATGTCGACTGCTCGTAACGGAAATTTCGAGTTTCGCTCGACCCTGGTGCCACCCATGGGGAAAAAATACTGAAAATGATCTGAACTTTGACACTATGTACGTGCGGAAAGGTGATACTCTCTAACTCGTTACATAACTGACAGGATTTGCCGATGGTTTTTAGTGGAGTTCGATGACCTCCCTTCTAAAGTATTCGGAACCGTTAAAATCTTGTCGATTTTTAACATATATCAGTGTGATAATGCCTGTAAACTTGTTTCTCTCATGTTAAACTACAAATTTTAGAATAACGTATTTATTTATTTATTTAAAGATGAAACCGTTCTTGTCTTTCTAGCTAATTTTGAGCCAGGTATGTTGAATTTTCGAAATGCTATTTCGTGGTCCTTCAAGGCTGCCTACTATCGCCGATGATCTTCCTGATTGTGGTGGGCTGGATCATGCAGCAAAACAGTGAGTAGCTCTGAGAAGATGGGTATACGCTGGACTGGACTGGCTGGACTGATGAAAAGAGCCTAGAAGATTTGGGTTTCCCGATGACGACGACGATGATGATGATGATTTATGTCTAGTGTCTTGTCTCACAAACTCGAAGATCTACAAACGAAAACTAACAAGTTGACAGAGGACGCAGGGTAGCGAAGTCGGGACTACCTTCAGGCGAATGTGGAGGAGACAAAGGTGATTAAGATACCCAACCAACAACAGCATCGACAACAAAAGGCATTAGTCAGCATCAACGGGAGAAACCTAAAAGAGGTTGTTTCTTTCATCTGCCTATGCAGTATCGTTTCAACTGCAGGCGGCACAGACGAGGATGTCAAACCCAGGATCAGAAAATTAAGACAGGCTTTCACTAATCTGAAATCAGTGTGGAGATCTACTGCACTCAGCACAAAGAACAAGATCCGGACTCTTAACACCAATGTCAAGCCAGTGCTGCTATATGGTTCAGAGAGTTGGCGCGTCACGTAAAGCACTTCCAACCAACTACAGACATTCATCAACAGCCGCCACCTACACTCACTCGATACTGAAGTTCAGATGGTCAGGATGATAAGAATAAGCAACAAGGAACTCTGGTAACGAACCAACCAAGAACCTATCACCCAACAAATACGCAGAAGAAAGTGGAGATGGATTGGGTTTGGCATACACTGAGAAGGCCGACTGGGGGCATCACGCGTCGGGCTAGGCTAGGCCAGGCGCTCGAGTTGTGCGTCCCAGTTGGGGGTGACGTGGAGGAGATCATTTGAGGAAGAAATGAAAGCTTGTGGAGAGTCGTGGAGCCAGGTTCAGAAGACTGCAGAGAAGAGAGTGGAATGGAGGCGTGCTCCTGAAGCCCCGTGTTCCACCAGGAACCCAAGGGGAAAATAATGATAATTTTGTGGTCGTTGCCTAGGAATTCTGCACCTGCTTGGAGCTTAGTGGGTGCGAATCCATTTGTGAAGACTAGGTCCAGAACATCACGTTATTCGGTTGGCTGTCCCACATGTTGTTGGTCGACCTTCCATTTCTAGGGTGCTTATTAATTCCTCAGAGCCCCTTGGAGTGCTGATCGGTCGCCACCTCATATCTGTCATGCCGAAGTCGCCGGTTTTAATTTTTGTTATGCGTGGTGGTGACACTACGTGGGCAAATACACTTGCCGGCTTCTCGCTGTAATCGACCGAGGAGCAAGGGGGGACAGACACGGAGTGAGTAGGCTTGGCGATAACCCATGCAAATTCATTAATTTCATTAGGTCCAGAAGTTAAGGGCTACGTGACAGTGATGTCACACTTTATGTTGCTAATGAACTCTTCCTTTACAAGGCAGTCTGTCCCCCTGAACAGAGAATGGCTGTCAGTAGAGATCTATGTGTCGTAAGTGTCAGAGGTGCACTAACCTTCCATGATCATTATAGCGGACAGACCACAAATCAGAGATAGCGGTACAATCTCTTTCATTTTGCTGTGAACAGGACGGGTGTCAATCAGGCAAAAGGGGAGTGAGTCAACGTTGCAAAAGTGTTTGGATATATCCCGAAAAAGTCAGCGCTTCTGTACATATTCAGGGGGTCCATTGGGCACACCTCACTAGTGGTGACCTGATGATCTTTGGGACCTCGCCTAGTAAAGAACGACGATATGGAATAAGCTTCCTCGGAGGAACCATGACACTCACCACATTGGGATTGACATATGGGCCCTGGTTGATGAGGAGAGTAGACAATATGGAAGCATTCCAATCACTTGCAACGCTTCTGGCGTTGCGGCTATAGGCTGTTTGAAAAAATCATGTTCATGGGAGGTAATAGGAACTGACCTATTGGACGACATGCCTAACTGCTGGCTGTCGTACTTATTATGGTCGTGGTCGACATCCTTGGAATTATCTTTTGGGATCCGTTTTACCTCTACCATCGAGTAGCACATCTCCCACGTTTCCCTCCTTATGGTTGGAGAGGGGTGTATCGTTTATGGCTAC